CCAGTCGCTGGTTCTTATCAACCCTAGAAAAGTAGGGTTGGACCATTGTTGGAAAAATCGAACCGAACAGTTAATTGGACATGGGACTGGTAAACCTAGTTCAACCGGCCTAACCGGGTAAGCCCCAGACAGTCAACAAAGTGTTAAAAAAATACAAATTTTTTTTAATAAAATATAAAAAATATACTTAAAGTATGATTGAACAAAGTACATCCAAATGAAGTTTAAAATTAATGAAAAAAAATGGATTTTAAAGAATCGATTTGTATCCAGTAGTATTTTTCAAATTTTCCAAAAAATATCGAAAAATATAAAAATAAGTATTAATGGCTAAAACAATTTCCAATCTTTTCCAAAATGATGAGAAACATTAAAAAAAAATACATTACAAATAAAATCCCTTATTTTTGCGATTTTATATATTTTGTTTTGAACTTTTTTTAAAATACTCGATGGTTCACCAAAAACTGTCAAAACCAAAACCGGCCAGTGGCCAGTTCTTATCGACCCTAGAAAAGTAGGGTCGGACCATTGTTGGAAAAATCGAACCGGGACGATTAACCGAACATGGGGTCGGAAGTCATTACTCGGTACAAACCGATAAATCTGTTTGCTCAACCGGCCTAACTGGGCAAGTCTCGGGCGGTCAAAAATGTTAAAAAGAATACAAAAAATTCTAATAAAATATAAAAATTAAATTTAAAGCATGATTAAACAAAGCACATCCAAATGAAGTTGAAAATTAATGGGAAAAAAAATGGATTTTAAAGAATTGATTTGTGCTGAGAAGTATTTTTGAAATTTTTCAAAAAAAAAGTTGGAAAAAATGTAAAAATACTTAAAGGTATTAATGGCCAAAACAATTTCCAATCTTTGCCAAAATGATGAAAAACATTAAAAAAAAAATACATTATAAACAAAATCCCTTATTTTTTGATATTTTATAGTTTTTTTAAAAAAATTAAATATCGCACCAATTCACCAAAAAAGGCGGGCGGTTACAATTTGAACCACCGGATTTTTCCTACATTGGCTTGGACCACACACTATGGCTTGAGGTCAAGACTAGGACGAGTTTGAGTACAGCTTAGTCCATTTTTTTCCTACTTTTTTCCTTTTTTACCAACATTTTTTCCTTTATTTTTCTTCATTTGTTTTTTACTTGGCCATAACAGGCTGGCTGGCTGGCCAGGCCGAGTCCCAGCCTGTTACATCCCTTAAATTTAATTTTGATTTTTTTTTTCAAAGTCTGGATTGCAAAATTGTAGCATTGCCCTTTCCCAAAGTTGGAAAAATACAGAACCCAAAATCCTAGTCCTCTATAGGAATGTTGTTAATGACAATAATCCTAATTCATCGAATCAACGGTGATGTCATTTATTTGATCGATTAGACCTTTGGCCTAATTGCGAGACACGTGGCACGCACAAGAGACGTTTAGCCTTCAATCCTGATCCTCAGATCCCCACATTACAAAATACAAACCAAGCCGCCCTACCCAAGAGGAAAAAATTTATTCGTTTTTACAATGATGACACGAATTGACCCTAATACTCATATATAAAGCAACACAATTGGCCCTATATAGCACAATGTCTAGTTAGTCATTTTTCTCATGTTAACATTATAAAATAAAATAAAATAAAATAATTTTGGTCATGTTGACTTTTATGGACCATGAAAATCTAGATACTTCTTACCGCTAGAGAAGTATTTTATTATTGGATGAAGTTCTTAGAGGGTTTAGGTTTTATAAAACTAAAATAAAGCCTCACTTCAAATCCTCATCCTGAAAATGGACGGTCTAGATAATATGTTACAAGATGCATTATTTTTAAGACTCAAAATCTTTTTTTTTTTTTTCATACCTAGGAATAGCAAAGACTTCAGACCAATATTTTATATAGATTGGAGCTTATCGGCCACCGGATGAACTACTGAACAATGACTTGACCGGGTAAAATTATTTATCTTTTGATCCATGAGTTCGGTAATTTTAGCGTGAGCTCGCACTCGCTTTTTTTTATTATTATTGTTCCATTTTTTCCGGTTCTTCCATGTTTCAAATATTAAAGTGCTCATTTTTAAAAAAAAATTGACATTTGTAAGTTAGTATGGTCCAATTTTTTTAAAAAAAATTGAGATTTGTAAGTTAGTATGGTCCTATGTTAATATCATACCGCCCTACATGTTTTGCCTATGTTGTTTATAAGGTAGTTTGATATTACAAATCTCTGAGCACCATTTTTCATAGTTTTTTATTAGAGTAGCGGTCTGAACTTTCGAAAATAGTACCACTTTTGAGATACTTTATATTTTCTCCCAAGTATCTACGGTCAAATATTCCAAAGCTCGAATTACTATAATATAAAAAAGCATAAAATTTGGAGGTCTGATATGTGCAACATTGTAACCCATAAAGATGAATAGGCCAATAATGTAGGGCGGTCAAATATTATCGCTATCGGACCACCCTACAAATAGAGCAGTTTGATATTTAAGTTATAGAATACCCCACAAATATCAAGAAATAAAAAAGCAAAAAATAAATTAATTGATGTTAGGGTCAAAAAGCTCCACAGGTTAACCCGACGTTTTAACAGGGAGAAGTTCCATGCGGATTGTAAACTAGGATCAAGTCTAAGAGGAAAGGGATTTTGGCGACCTTCTCGGATTTGTATAAGGCGCCCATCTTATACTGTACAAGTAAAGTGCACATCAAAATTTTGCTGGAAGATATGGTTCTTATAATGACTTGAAAATCCATGTTTGGTATTTATGTTGAAACTTAAATTTTAAAAAAAATGCGCAAGTTGAGTACAAATACCTATAAACACTTGAAAATCCTGATGGACTGACCAAATATTTGTTGTCTTTAAAATAAAAATATTTTTCTTCTTTATTCTATACATCTTGAAGTCGAGAAAGTCAATTGAAAGGTTTTCCATCTTTGAAATAATATCGTTTCTATAAGATTTTTGATGTGCACTTTACTTAATTATATAGTGTAATGTTGCGAGTTTATCATAACTTTTTCCTTTCAGAAATAGAATTTGTTATATTTAGGACGTGTATACTATATTCACGCAATAGTATATTGTACCCTTTCTCCCACGACCTTAACACTAATGTAGGAAAAAAAATTTCTATTTTTTCTATTTAATCTCAAGGCATTAGTTTTTCCAAACCCATGAAGAATGCAATTTAGGACTATTTTTTGTTTTGCAGAGGTTAACTATTCAATTGAAATTGGAAATATGATATTTCATATGAAAATTGAATAAATAGATTGAAAATAAAATCCATAATAGTTGGATTCATGACAAATCCTATGAATATGTGGAATTGGATTATTTCAGATCATGCAGCCCCGAATCATATATAGATGAAACTAAAGGTCACAATTCCTTTCCTGCTTTCTGACCTCATTTGTTTTACTGTTGGGCTTGCTTTCTTGCTCCACTGCTCTTTTCAAATCCGATCTTTTCGCCTAGGAATGTAGACTTATTTGACATAAATTAGTTCTATAGAGTAGCAAACAAATTTGTACATCTCCTCGGATACCCCTAGATTGAGTTTTATTCAAATAAGCAAATACACAAGCATGAAATTTTCTATCATTATATAAAAGGAAAAGTTTATATAGAGCCTAGGCTCTAAACAATCAAATTAGAGCCTACCTTAAAAATTTCACTAAAAGATGTTTTGATGTCCAAATATCTTCAAATTGATCATCTCGACATCAAGATGCATGGACTTGAAAAAAAAAAATTGAATTTTAAGTTTTAAAAATAGTGCATCTTATAATGTATTTTTGGATCGTCAATTTTTAAGTTATTCAAGTTTTCATAGATATGCTCGATATACACTATTTTTGAAGCTTTAAATTTTATAATTAAAGATAAAAATATATTTCAAAGCTAGTCAAATATTTTCAATATTGAAACCACATTTCTCAATACTATTTGAAAGTGGGCTCTAATTTGATTGTTTAATGCCTCGACTATATACAAACCACACCCTTATATAAACGGTGAGGTTTGTATAAAATGTCAAACCTTATACTATTGAAGTAACGTGTACATCAAAACTATGCCGAAAATGAGACAAAGCCTTGATATGAAAATCGATCATTTCCCCAATTATGATATTTGAAATACAAATCAAACAAATCTATAAACATTTCAAAATATTAAAAATAGACGGTCGAAAGAAGAACTATTTTTAAGACTAAAAATCCCAAATATTGAAAATAAACGGTTCAGATAATACGTTAGAAGATGAACTATTTTTAAGACTAAAAATCCCTTCTTTTCTTTTTTTTTTGTCTATAAATCTCGATGCTGAGAAGCTGAGATGACCGATTTGAAAGTTTTCTAGAATAGAAATTTAGAAACAAACCATCGATTATGGACTCTTTACATGCACCCTATTTACAAGTGTAAAGTTGACACCTTGTATAAACTTCTTCCTTATATAAATTATAATTTATACTATGTGCAGGTCATATATATATTTTCACACAAGATCAGGCAAGCTCTGATGGACCCAGGATCTGGTCCGGGTGTGGCAAAACTCAGGTGTTAGGTCAAGACCCAGACCCTGGTCGATGCCCCGGCATCCATGTTTGCTCACTGTAAAAGATCTCATCATTTTCTACATTTTCAAAGCAATTCTGAGATGCTCCAGATATCACAAACTCAGGTCGCCATGGACTCCCAAAAGAAACAGCTTTTACCTCTATTTTGCTCGCTGGGTTATTAGCCTCCTTATTATCCAATACCACCCAACAACTACTGCCACTGACAGCTAACCCATCTGGCTACCAACTAATGCTATTATTACCATAACCACTTTTTATACTAATAAAGTTATTGTGATCATTATTGAGCGGTAGCTAACCCCAAATAAAAAAATTAGGATAAAACTCGGATGATGATGATGATTAATTAGGATAAGACTCGAATGAGGATGAGTAGAATGAGGATGAGTAGTGACACTTGTGAGTCCAAATAACAATCAATCAGTAACTGCAAAATTTACAATGGCAAAGCATCCAATAATACAAGGATTATTCTCAGCTCCTAAACCACAATCTAAAAGTTTCATACATCCCACTAAGACACACCAAATATATTTACAGAACAGTAAAACACAGATGAAAGGTATGACCCACCTCGATCCAAAGTGCAGTGTTTTCACAACAATACGTCTTAACAGCATCTTCAAAATGCTGCAAAACCAAGTGGAAATTTATCAAATGAGCTCTCGAATGAAAACAGGTTCCTTCTCATTTGAAGTCCTCCTCATGAAGCCGAAGGCAAAAAACGATGACCCCAATTCTTCAAACAAGCAATAGGTCTGTTTATTTTGAGACCATAAAAAGCTTTCTCACAGTAAGTGGAAGAGGCAAACTCATGGGGCAGTGATCTTTTTCCAAGTAAAACCAACTAGCACTTGTACCATGTTGCGGATTCCTAATGGTGAGGTGAGCTCCTTTCTGCTTGCTCTGATACAGAGGCCAAGCCCTGTAACATTCTAACAATTTCTATGGTGTCATCCAAATAATACTTGGCTTTACTTGGTTTCCGACCAACTGTACAAGCAAATACTTCAGCCAGCGAGGACAGAGAAGGGCCAGCCTTCACTTGCGCCTTCGCTTGCATAATCACCTCGAACATGTCCTCATCGGATCTATCATCTCCAATACAGAGAACAAAATCAGGTGGTGTTCCTCCCTCTTGCATCAAAGAGAGAAGCCGTCCTGCTACGAGTCCCTTGCTGACACCCTGCAGGTTAAGCGACAGATAATAAACAACTTACTGCCTACAATTGCAATGCATATTAGCATCAGAATGGAAAATGAGAAGATATGGAGAAGCAAAAGACACAGGAATGTCTTTTCCATCTCCTTTTTCTTTTCTTTTCTGTTTTTTTTTTTTTTTTGGGTGGTAGATGAAATAAGACTAAATGAAGAGCAAAAATCCGCAGACCCCCAAGATATGAGGAATGGGTAATTGTTTGGTCAGAAGGTTCAGACAAGTGGCATGCTGCAGTCCACATTAAGTGGAGACAAGATTTCTAGACAAGGCATCTTGATTGAGTTATACAGGAAAATATCAAAACAATCGAGTACGCTCATGCTGTTTTAAGTGTGTATCCGTTTCATTCTTGTTATATAAGATCAGGTACCGCAAATACCATTTTTCCTGGGAATAATACCGAAAACAAATAAATACCCCAACAAGTTGATACAGATAGACTTATTCCAGTTCTCAAAAAATGATCCACCTCGTCCTCATACCTGTGGTTTAACTTCCACAATGTGTTGACCGCTCTTAACCGAAACGGGCTCATTGGCAAGAACACTCTCAAGATGATCAAGAAGCTCCTTAGACTGGCAAGACCCAAAATCCGGATCAGCATCTTGATAATGCCAAACCAGTGCAGTGTCTTTGGTTTCTATGCTGGAACCATCGGTTGTTTCTGTATACAGTTTCATTACAGGTTCTGCAATTCTTTTCCAGTCAAAATCTGTCACAGAGATGCATGTTTCCCATTCTACGTCATGCTTCAACCTGAAAGAAGACATCTGCTTATCAGAAAGAGAATTCTGACCACAGAATTTATGTAAACCAATGTCTAAAATATTGTTTTCTAGAGTAAGTAGACTGAAATTCAAAACGAGACATCTTTACATGATAAATCCACATTTAATTTAGAAAATACACTTAATCTACCCATGAAAGTAACATAAATTTTAATCCAGATTTTTGTATTATCAAATTCAAAGTTTGAAGAAAGAAAAGGGTAGTCAAAGATTTCAAAGGCAAATAAATTTTGCAACTCCAGCATGTTAGAGTATCCATGCCAACTATTGATCCAAAATCTATCAATCAGCTGCTAATGATTTCAGCCAAGACCCAAACTGACTAACATTTAAAACTAAAATATGCATACATTGGCAACTCTCCCATCACCACAATTTCAAAAAACAAAAAGATGTATTACCATACTGTAATCCAAAGGACTATCAAAAACCATGGTCCATTGGGTAATCCAATGGACAATGAAAAACCATGATTCATCATCTCCATCTTAATGAAATGGATGATAATGGAGAGATTTCCATCCACAATTGTGGTCACATCCCGTTCTGATGAATTCCATTCTCCCCATCACCATCCATCATTGCATTACATTAGATAGTGATGACCCCAATGAATAATTCTCTTTATGGACATACAGAACCGTGTTGTAGGGTTACGTGCCCCAAAAAAGAGTTTATTCGAACCAAAGGAAGAAATGGAAGTCACCTGAAAAAGAACCCATGTTCTGCCGCAATCCCAAGTTTTTCACAAGGAGAAAACCAATCGGTCAGTGTCTTTCGATCCCTTGCACTCACCAGGAACACAACATTGTTTGGATCCGCACACAACTTATTCAAAATGTCAATTGACTCAAGGGTTGGAGTCTTGTTTATCGATGACTGAGGCATCATGGTTCCATCGTAATCGAGAAGGATAGCTCTGGATTTAGTCCTTTTATAAGCAGAAACTATATGCTCAGTTGAAAGCTTCCTAAAATTTGGATCAAGCGCAACCACCCTGAATCCCAATCCAAATCCAATTCCCCAACACCTCCGCCTAATGTGATCCCTACATGTTCTCTCCAAGTCCTGGAGAAAACTATGAGCCCAATATCCCACGTCATGGGTGCTCACATATCTATAATGCTTCTCATGCCTCAATTGCTTCTCCCCCTCTGCCATTACAATAGCACTATCCATGGCTTCAGCCACTGCATCAATATTCCACGGGTTGACCCGAATAGCCCCACTTAAAGAGGGAGAACACCCAATAAATTCTGAAACCACAAGCATGCTCTTTTTTGGTTTGTCCGGATCTCGCTCTAACACCTCATCCAGTCGTTCGTTCCCTTGTCTGCAAATGATATACTCATATGGAATCAAATTCATTCCATCCCTCACTGCTGTGACCAAACAACATTCTGCAACTACATAGTAAGCAATTCTCTCGTAGAACTGAAGTGGTTTATCAACCAAAACCACTGGTTCATAGCCTGGCCTTCTAAATGTCTCATTGATACGTTTCACAGTCGAATAAGTCTCAGCCTGCACTTCCTGAACGTCTTTTCCTCTTCCCCTTGCAGGATTTGCAATTTGAACCAGGACCAACTTGCCTCTCCACTCTGGGTGCTGGATAAGCAACTGCTCCATGGCCAAGAGTTTCAAGCTTATACCCTTAAAAATATCCATGTCATCTACACCAAGTAGCATGATCCTATCTCTAAATTTCTCTTTAAGAATTGCAACTTTCGCTTCAGTTTCAGGAAGGCTAAGCACTGATCGGAGCTGACCCATATGAATCCCCACAGGAAGAATCTTTATGGTCACATTTCGGCCATAATACTCAAGCCCAATATAACCCCTCTTTGATTCATAGACAAGCCCAAGCATCCTACTGCAACAAGAAAGGAAATGGCGAGCATAATCAAATGTGTGGAAGCCTATTAGATCAGCATTCAGAAGGCCTCGAAGAAGTTCTTCCCTCACTGGAAGTGTCCTATAAATCTCTGAAGAGGGAAATGGGCTATGAAGAAAGAAACCCATTTTCACCCTGTTAAATCTCTTCCTTAAAAAGGTGGGTAGCACCATTAGATGGTAATCGTGCACCCATACAAAGTCATCATCGGGGCTTATCACCTCCATGACTTTGTCTGCAAAAATCTTATTGACTGAGACATAGGCTTGCCATAGAGCACGGTCAAATCGCCCCCCAAGGTCAGGAGAGAGAGGCAGCATATAATGAAATAGCGGCCATAGTTGTTGCTTGCAAAAACCATGGTAAAACCTAGAGAAAAGATCAGGGGGAAGGAAAGTTGGAACACATTTGAACGTCTCAAGCAAGATTTGAGAGACTTCATCTTGTTCACTTGGGGGAACCTCCTCTTTAAGGCAACCCACATAGATAACTTCAACGTCTTCTCCTAACCCATCTTTCAATTGCAATAGCAAGGCATCCTCATCCCAACTGAAAAGCCACCCTTTCCCATCATCTCTTCGATGAGCTCTAATGGGAAGCTGATTGGCTACTATAATGGTTCTGTCTTGAGTTACCGAGGAAGGTGGGTCAGAGCCGGTACTGTGAACAGAAGCACCATCATCAAAATCTGAGATGATACCAGGCACTGTCATGACTCTCGGGAGCCTTCTTCCCATCCTACCAAATGATGGAGGGGTACCACCTGAAACGAGGTCCAATAGATTTGAATATGATCTCGAAACCATTTATTCTTCAATGTGCTAATTTTCCCTATCGGAGGAATGCGATCATCAACTAAAGGAACCCTCACTGGTGCACGTTTCGTTTCTAGCTGTGGAATTCACTTTCTAATCATCAAAGACCACGAAGCAGGTCAAGGCCCCAGTCATCAACTTGAGAAATGAATTGGGTGATTCTATAAGGATCTTGCCCACTTTCAGTAATGGGTTCCTCCAAAAATTTCCATTTTCTCATGAAGAGCTCGATTTCCATTTAAGTCCGAAATGGATTTGTCGACAAATCAGAGTCCGTTATCTTATGATATTGTCTCCTAAATCAAAATTAATACCACCCTTTACCTGCATGACCACAACAGAGTATCATCAAAGCACAAAAAGTTTCCAGCCTAAAACATTGAAGTCTGAAGATATATATTGCAAAAATATATACATCTTAAAAGGACCAAGTCATTTTGTCAGAACAGCAGAAGGTTCTACTACACACATCTCCCAAAGCAACAAGCATATTCTTAATATAGCACAAATAGAATGACAGTGACACAATCCTCACCTTTTTATCTATAATCTCTCTTCTAAATCAGTTATATCTCTTGCAAAGTTACATCAATAATTAATTTTCCTTGAAGAGCAGCGCATTGCCAACAAAGTCCAGAGCTGTAGTGCAACTTATTACACCATAAACAGTGTGCCGGGACTCATCTAGGCCAAAGGCCTCGTCCCTTGGACAAGGCGTGTTACTGGCTGAGTCCTGCACAGGACTAAAAGGCCCTAAAAATAAATAAAAAATGAAAAAGGAAAGAGTGAAAAAACTAGAAAAATATAAAAGTAAAGTGAAACCTGAAACAACTTTAAAAGTTAAAACAAGCTCAAAAAATTAGAGAAAATGGATCAGAAAAAATCAGACAGTTTGGGACATTCTAAAAAATCCAAAACAGGACATAGAAAAATAGCGATAATGGCCAAAAACATGCACCAATCTTTTTCAAATACATCTAAATCACATTAAAAAGTTCGTGTAACATTCCCATATGTTTTACATTTTTTTTTTTTGTGAACCTTTTTATATGCCCCAAGTTGTAAACACAACTCGGGCTTCTCAGCCACGCCTATGTCGAGGCCTAGTCCCGGCACACTGCCATACAATTTTAAGTGACAAGAAATTGTAAGGTAATTTCTTTTCTTCATTTTTTTCTCTTTTTTTTGAGATGTCTCAAAGAGATTTTTTCATCTGGCTCATCTCCACAATACATTGAAGAATGTCATTTCTAAAAAGCTTTTTCCATTCTGATAGTTTCCATTATATTTAGACATTTGGGTTATTTTAACAATCTGATAGAGAGAAAATTTGGATCGCTCCCGCAATATCCAACAGCAAAATAATTTATCGAGATCACTGTTTTACGCTGACAATGAAACAATTTCAATAACATAAATGGTATAACGAGAGGAAAAATAAAAAACAATAACATGAACCAGAAACAATCACTTAACTCTTGAAATTTCTACAAAACTAATAAGAAACATATTAGCCAAAACTAATTAGACAAAAGAAATCTGTTTGCTGAGCGCGAAATTAAAGCCGACAAAATCAGAAAGTACAAAGTGTCAATAATACCATTATAGTTATAATTACTATTATTGAAGCCATTAAAGAACCATCTCTGAATAATAACTGACAGCAATAAAGCCTTCCTTTAAGAGCTTCGAAGAACCAGAAAAAGGACTTAAGGCTGAAGCAGGAAACTTCTCAAGGATATAAGCAATAAACACGAGAAATACAGCAATGATAACAAGATTTAATTGAACAGTAACAGTAACATTGTTGTGAAGAACCAGTTTTAAGAGCATAAAACTAATGGAAATAATAACAAAATAAAACTGGAAAAACGAGAGAGAGAGAGAGAGAGAGAGATACCAGCTTCTAGAGCTTGGAAAGTGGAGAAGACCAGTAAATGCATATAAGATAGAGAGATAAACCAGAGACATGAAACAAAACAATTGAGCATGAACACAAAGAAACCATAAATCGTTTTGGTACTTTACCTGAACACCCAACAAACAGAAAGTGATCCAAGAATTCTAGAGAGAGAAAGAAAGCTCAGGTTTTCTTCTTCCTGTCTCTGCAAGACCAAACCCCCACTCTCTCTCTCAATCCTCTTCTGGCCGCATCTGGTTAGCTGGACCCATTATTATACTTCGTGAACAAAAAATAAATTAAATCAAAACGAAATAAGCCATTAGAGATAGATTGACCAGGAAAGCACTTACTTTTATATGAATGACAAACTCATCCTGACCAGTCCACTATGAGATACATGAACCGTTTTCTAAAATGACATGTTTCCCCTAAGAACGTAACATCATATACAATTTTTTTTTCTTTTCGTGAATAATATAGTGAAAAGATTTATTTTTTGTACAAAAAAAATCATATTTTTGCCTCAGTTGACGTAAAATTAATAAACTAAAGCATCAGCTAGTGTAAAATCTAGAAATAATCTTTCGAATTTTGTGGCACATTCCTATCCATTGAATTTAACTTATGTCAGGTATTGTTATCCTCAAATTTTTATACCAAGGGCAAATAATCTATTATAGTATACTACCTATTATTGTATACACACTTTCTTTTTCCATTTGCATAGTACTAGTTGTTGGGGAGCATAATTTGTTTTATAGAAAAATATACAAAGAGATCATTTATTTTTGATATAAAGATTTCATAATTGCTCATGTTCATCTAATTAGGTGGTTGTAAGAATATCTTTCATTAGATTCAAAATTAAAAAAAAATCTCAATCTTCGTGAGAAATACCAAGATATTCAATTTGATATCTAAAATCTAAAAGTAATTCTAACTTTCTTGTGATAAAGATAAATAGTCTCACATAATACTAACCTTTGTTTTATTTACTAACATCACGTGAGGCTTTCTCTAGTGCTTTTTGAATGTTATCAATCTTAACTCACTTATTTAAAAAATGGGAGTTAAACCATGAAATTTGGTGTATAAAATATAATATACTCATGAGAAATCAATCATTATGTCTTGAGAATGGATGGTGGAGATTTAATAATGGACATCCACACAAGATGAAGGCAAATATTTTGATGGTGTACCATATAGTACGTAGAGCACTAGAGTATGGTGTTCTTTCCCATTTTCTGTGGCCAATAATCACCCCCATTGCACAAATGAGGTCCAAACTTTTTAGGCATTCATCTTGTTTGAGTGGAGTGGCACCCCAAGATTTTGATTTTTTTTTTGGTAGTTTAATGGGGAATACAGTCCCTTACCTGTTTTTTAAATTGTTAATGGTATTCAAAAGTGCTAGGTGAAAATGAAAGCTTAGACATTAACTAAGACTCACGTGATACTACCACCACAAACCCAGCCCTATTCTCATCCTGAGATAAATTATTTCTAGCTTTTTGCATGGTGCCGTAGACTGAGAAGCCGAAACTAAGGGTTTCTATTCCCTCTCATGCCCAACTTCTATTCCTCTTTCTACCTAAAGCAAAGAATATACCAAAAGTCTAATTCCTATGAAGACTTAAAAAACCCTCCCCATTCTCTTCTTACCTACCTCAAACTAAGCAGGTAATAACTAATGGATGACTGAGCTAGAAAGATGAAGGGTGAGTTATTTCTCATGTCTGGAACCCCACAAGATAATTTAAGCCTTCTTTTGGAAAATAATAAAACGTAATTTGCATATTTCATATAAGAAGACATATAATTAGTTTTAGCTGTCAGATTTGAAATCTGAAATTGGAGTGTGCTATTTACCAAGCTACAATTCTAAAATACTAATAATAATAATGAATTGAATCTCTAACCATCTAATTTCACATATAAAAATTAAGAAATTAATGTGATTTTTGTTCCAAAAAAAGAAAAAAAAGATCTTAAAATGTAGAATGTCCTTTTCCTCATGTCTATGCAAGTGCCTGTGGCTATAAAACCCCGAGTGAGGGGGATTTTCGTCGGAACTAAATTTTCAGGGGCTTTTGGGCATATTTCAAGGATCGGGCAGTCTCCGTCTTTTCAGTAAAGGACGAGGGTCGTTAGTGTCATTATTTCAGGATAAAATAAAAAATAAAAAAATAAAAAAGGTGGTTAGAGAAAGAGTTGTAATAAAAAAACAAGTATCGATAGTTAGGGCAACGTTATCCCTTTCTCTCGAAGGGCACGCCCGAGAGGGCTTCAAGGCTCGGAACCATCGACAAAGTGGGGCCCACCAAGCAGCTGTCATCCTCGTGCTCCTAGCCACGTGTCGGTCCTGGAAAGCCCATCAACCTGCCCACGCGCCTTCTCAGTGGCCAAATAGGGCTTACGTGTGCAGTGTGGGAATCGACACGTGTCCAGGGACCGGCTTACGCGGCGGCTTCGTGAGTCGGCTCACGAGGCAGGTCTAATGGCCCAAACAAATTACGTAATACTAGGGTTTCTTAAAGGCTTCGGTTTGAACTTGGTTTTTAACTATAGTCATCATTAAGGAATCGAAAGGTCGCTCGACCGATTGGACCATATATGGTGGTTCCCGAGTAAGTTTCATTCAAAATGAATATATATATATATATATATTATTGAAAATTGGTTAAAATTAATATTTAATTGATTTAGATAATATGTTTTAAATAATTTTTTAAAAAATATATAATATATATTTTATATATATATATATTTTTTAAATCCAATCCAACCAATTCAACTTGACCGATTTTGATTGGACTGAAGTCTTCATAAGTCTATGATCATTGCTACCTCATAACACCGGTTTTAAATTTGACTTTAGGCTCAACTTCAATTATTGTTGGTGGAGATGTAATTTTTAGTGCATTATATTCTTAGATCTATCGTTTATCTCTAATAGTGAACTTGGTGATTTTAAAAAAAGAAAATCGTTTTATGCGGCAGGAATTGCATTTCTACATTTGAGATCCCTAAGGTATAAAGCATCTATCTTAAAGATAGAGGTAAATAGGCCGTCCATCTAAAAATAATTGAAACTAACGTTCTAAATGCTTTTTAATAGAATTATTATTTTTAATTTTCAAAATTTATTTATTTTTTCATATTCGTTATCTCCATGTTAGATAGTATGTGTTCTTAAAAATTAGGTAAAAAAGTCCATCTCAAAAATAGATTTTTAAGAGGTGATTCCAGCGTTTTAAAAATCGCCGAGTCGAACCGGACTCGCCCGGTTCGACTCGGAATTCACGAAAAAGGTATCGGATCGGTTCAAAAACCGGGAATCGTCCGGTTCTAGAGAGAACCGGACGATTCCGCACAGTGACTCGCCGATTCACTGTGCGGAATCGGCGAGTCCGTGAAGAACACGGGTTGCACAGTGTTCTTCACGGATTTTTTCAAATTTGTCATTTTTTGATCATTTTTTTTGTTTTTTTCGGCATGTGATCTGTTTTGCAGGCTGTAAACAGCTTTATTCAGC